TTCTATTCTAGGTTGTTATCCAGAAGTTCCTCTATCTAGGTAGGTAGATGGATGTCTCTATGCTAAATAAAATCTTTATCTTTTTCTCGGGTGTGGCTCTCTGTATTTACTGTACTATATGTTAAATCCTATGTGAAATCATCTGCTTTGACTTATTATTATTACACTCTTCATCATCAAGTCATTTTATGGTACAATATTTAAAAGCATTATTTGAAATATATACAACTTGCTAGAACATGTATTTCTAAGTCCTTAGCTGAGGAGTGGAAGGCCAAGAGGAAGAGATCTTCATGTCCAGTCTTGTTTCACTTATTCTGTACCCCACATCTGCCCTACTTCGTTGTATTTGTGATAAGCATATAGCAGAGCCTTGCCATATATGCTTTGCATGTGCTCACATTCAGTTGTATTCACTGAGAGAAACAATCAATAGAGCAGAAGATTCTAGTCTGCCCATTCAATGAGCTCGGTACTGAGTGGATGGGAGACAGGTGTTGTTATTTGTGAAGTTCTGTTTCTGTAGACCATTCATCTCACCACCTTTAGTTTAATTCTGCAATGTAAAGATAAGTACTCCTTTTTCAAATCGAACTAAAATTGCAAACAATCACTTCAGCTGAAAGAACAGCTATGAGTAGGGAGTTGACCCATTGTCATGTGATTTCTGGCTTTGGTGCAGAATTCAGACCCAAATCCTCAAATTAGCTATGGCTTCTTCTATTGGTCATGTTTTCCTGCTCAGGTTAGAAACAATCTCACCCAAGGGCAAATTAAAATAATGATTGACACAAAAGCAATTTTTGAATGATTCCTTGATTTTTCTTTCAGGAGATGATCGAAATATTGAGGAAGTTTATGTGGGCGGAAAGCAGGTGGTTCCATTTTCCAGCTCAGTGTAAGACCCTTGGGCATCCACAAAGTTCTCTTGGAATAATATGGTTCCACAACTCTCTTGTGCCCAGGTGGAGTTAGAAAGGAAAAAAAAGTACCTTATTCTTGGGATGACTATCTCTTTCTGTGTCTAGTTACAGTATTCACTTGACAAATTGTTTGAAGGAAGTTGAGCTGATTCTCAACTCTGTTGGGAGAATTCATAATTTTGTGAAAGTATCTCCCTTTTGGGCTGTTCCGATTTACTTTAAGCTCAAACAGAAGGGAATGTTATTGCTGGTGGTGTTCTATAAGATTTAAGTCAACTCTATTTCATATTTGGAAGTGTGGAGAAAAAAAGATATTCCTATAAGGTTAGCTATTTTGAGGTAATACATGCAAAAATTAAGAAACTGAAAATGGACCATTGAGTATATTTTTATGAGGGAGCAAAAGTTAGACTGTGAACAAATGTTGGAAAATCACTTTAGATTGTGTTCGAAAATTATATACTGAGCATACTAATTTAAAAAGAGAACTTGTTGAATTTTAAAATGTGTTTCTAGACTGACCTTGTGTTTTGGAAATTTGCACTTAACGGAATTTGCATTTCAGAGATGTGTTATTGTTGTGCTTTGCCTTAGTTGGAGATGAATGTCAGAAACTGAATGCCACACGCTTTCTTAGTATAGTTCTATGCTTCAAAGTGCTTGACAGAAGTTGGATATTAAAGATTTAAAGTCTCTTAGAAATATTATTCCTATAATTACATGGCATAAATAGTTGTATTTTCGTGTACTTGAAAATCACCTGAAGTTATAATTGTGCGATGCTGTAATTGCTTCCATTTTATTAGAAGAGAAACAAATTCCGTACTCTGCTGTTGGACAGTTTGAGTCTCCACAGATTTTGGCAAGTCCTAGGCAACTGGGAGCCCGTCGATGCTAATGAGAAGGGTTCCATTACAATGGCCGCTTCTCTCCAATGCTGTGCCATAGTTGTTGGAAACTTCCTACTCAACTCAGATAGCAATTTGCTAGCATTTTAAAGTGAAGGACAAATCCTATTAAGGAAATGTTACTAAAAAAAAAAAAGAATCTTTAAACCCGGTATATGAAAATTCTCCAATTTTATCTGGTTGTATGTTTAATTCCTTACGTAATTTTTAGGATGTTAGAATTTTAAGATAATGAAAATAGGTAGATGTCCCACTTAATGTTTATATTAATAGTACTTAATCTGTATTAGACATCTAGGAACATTAAACAGTAAATAGTGTTCTAATATAGTTTGCTTCAGAATTTAACCTAAATTATGATCTTATGATAAATCTTTAAAAACTATTGATGTGAATGTTATTTAAATCCTATATTTTTCTTATTTAGTTCCAAATACTATAAACTAACAAGGAAAAGAAATAGATTTTCTTAGTATATCATAACACTCATTCCTTGGGCTTAGATGTGACTCCTAATATTAACCATATAGTATAAAACTTTATGTAATAGAGCTAATGCTATGTTTACATAATTACGAATATAATTCACCCTCCTGCAATATAAATTTTATTTTTACAAACTTATGCTAATTTAGCAGCAATTGTCCAGTTTACCCCCCTGGTAGGAACATTTTCAGATTTGACTTTATGTATACTACACCTAAAGGTAGAACAAATTTTTGGTCTTTTGTTTCTTTCAAACAGAGTTTGTTTTGTGAAATATTGAGAACTCGGTAAATCTAATGTCCAGTCTCAGTCTGCATTTCCAGTATTTCTAATTTCTGAGCCATGCTAAGATGCCCCACCAAATTCTCCCCATTTCTCTGTAATCTTGGTAGGTGTTCTCCCCCACCCCACCTTATCCCCTAATCAAAGAAAGTTGGTTACATGGTGTCTAACCCAAATGAGTAGGCTTAGGAATTTAGATGAATGAATAAGATCCAATGTATAGGCAGTGGTTGTTTCCAGCCTTTGTAAGATCTTACACTTCCACCTTCCTTAAGGATGTGCATTTTAATGTTCCGCATCAGTGTCATTTAGATTTAGGATTCATGTGCAGTAAATATAAAGTGTAGCATCAGAAGCAGAAAGAATGGCCATAGACAACCATTGTGTCAGACATTAAACTTAGCCCTAACAATATATTCAGACCTGAGTATCTTTCCTAGTATAAGGTAGAATTGCTTACCTGTCCCTCGATGGATTTCTCTGCACTGCTTCTAACTAATGTGTTAGTTAGGTAGCTACACCAAGTGTAGTGTTTCTGAATGTTACGTATGCTTTTCTCAATGCTACAGGCATCATCCACACATGGGCCAGATGTTCTGCACTTTGAAATGTTGCCTTTGCCTAATGTAGGTTAACTTCTTGAATTGTGGAGAGGCACTATTCCAAGCCAATCCTATTTGTTGCTTGTGTTTGAATACTTTGCTCTCTGACAGGAAAGAAAGAATGTAAACTTCTCATCAGCCTCTTCCTCCCAGACTGTACCATTTGCCCGACATTCCGTGGTATTTACCATGGAATACATATTAAAAGTGGAAAATCTGAGAGTGTCAGATATCATAAACTTACAAAATATTTTTACAGCTGGAACACCAAATCAGGCTAATCAGCAAAGGTGAATTTTATTTTCAAAAGAGAGGAGAGAAAACATGGGAAATAAAAGATTAAGATATGAAAGACCATCCTAGTCATAAGCTGATAACAAGGATTCAGCCTCCTCATTTATTCTCCCAGCCTCTTCTCTCACTGAATTGCCAAGGGTTTTAGAAATCAAGAAGATAATCTTTGGATATGTTCCCTTCCTGCCAGGAGAAGTTCTTTCTAAGTTATCGCTGTGAGCATGAAACCCCTTTGATTCTCCCTTTTTTTACTTCAGTGAGAATTTTTCAGGTTAAAGAGAAAGAAATGTTAGGAAACACTCCCCATTATGCTTAGCAGATTTTCAAATATGCCCTTGAATATCCCTTTTGGCAGCTGCAGCTGAGATCTTAGAGAGGAAACGCAATGGGTGTGAGATCTTGCAATGTATTTTGAATCTTCACTCCCTACCAGACGCTTCCTATTTTTAATCTTTTCACCTAAGAATCAGGCATATGGAAAGTTTTAAAGGCAAGCTGGAAGGCGCATTGTACCAATTCTACCTTGTGCCGTACGTGGAGGATATCCAGAACCTCATTGGACCTCTTTTTGTGCTTGTCTATTTTTTAGTTGATGATGATCCTAGAAACTTTCACATGTTTAAAAACAAAGAGTGTTCTGAGTTATTATAAGGTAGACTAAGAAGTGTGTCATGGGTAATGACTTGCAATTATTTTTAAATTGGGTGGGTTGTTATAAATTTTTAAGTCTTCTTTTTTCTTTAAAAGCTTAAAGAAGGTGTTTGCAATTTCAGACCTACTAGTCACTTTAGGTATGAGTGTGGACCTCACACTGTATGATGTCTTAAAGGAAAAATGGGGAAAGAAATGCCCACATGATAGGATACTGAGGAAACCCTCCCTTGGTCAGTACAGGTTTTCACACCTGGCTTTAACCTCCCTTTTCTTCCCCCAACCCTGAGCAATCGAGATTGAGAATTGAGGGGCTAGTTTGTGGACTGAGTCCAAATTTAGTGAAATGCAAAAGTCAGACAGGCCAGTGATAAAAGTACACGTAAATTCCAAGATGGCTTTCCCAATCCACGGGATTCAAGTGACTTGGATAACAGATGTTGTTCTTGGCTCAACTATTAAGTGATGGTAATTTGCTCTAAAGCCTGTCAGAAAGCATTCTTTAGTGAAAACCTTATGCTGTTGCTAAACTTCTGATTGCTGCTCTTAAGAATATACGTGTATGTATTCATGGGGTTCTGAATATTTGTGATTTACATATTGTTATTGTGCTGAGTGAGCTCCTTTGTGCTTCAAACAAAAATAAATGAGATTTTGTGTTTACGTTACTTTTTGTTGTGAGTTCTCTCTGTTCGATTTTGTTAAGTTCGATCAGTCTGATAGATGGGAGATTAGTCTTACAATGTGTTTTTCTTCTGAGCATGAATTTTAAAAAACATTCATATTCATCTCTGGTCCAAAATGTGTCTTCCCCTCAGGATTATCACTTTACATAGCTTTTCATAATTAAGCTATAATGTTCAAGCCTTCAGAATCAAATTGCTATTGCTTTTGACTTCAGCGTAGTTTATGTATGTTTTTTAAAAAGAATTATTTAATTTATTATTATTACTATTTTAATTTGACCAGAGAGAGATACAGAGAGCGAAAGAGAGAGAGAAAGAGAGAGAGGGAAAGCAAGCCACCAGTTCCAGGACTCAAACCACGGTTGGCCATGTGGGAGTCCAGCGCCTTAACCACCACTCCACCTGCCAGCCCCTAATGTGTCATATTTTTAAAGCTACAATCCAGAGTGAGAAATACACTTTACATCAAGAATCACTGCACATATACATATGTATGTGCCTATAGAACAATAGTTTCACAAAATAATCTGTTGTGAAGGAAAAACAATTCACACCAGTCTGTGAAATTCAAGGTTCATTTACATTTTAAAAGCCTCAGAAAGCATGTTATTCACCAGGATTATTGCCCCAAAGGGCATGTTTTAGTTTACAGTAAACAAACTATGATGCTACAAAGGATTATAGATACATAATGTGACCCTGATCCTTTCTTCATACCAGTGTTCTTGAATTCAAAATGTAAAGAATAAGATATGGGGGGCAGCAGTGGTGTAGTGGTTGAGGCTCTGGACTCCCACATGGTCAACTGTGATTTGTGTCCTGGTGGCTTGAAACTCATGCTAGGCACACGTGCATGCATGGCTAAAATCCCAAAAAGAGAATGGAAGAGAAGAGATTTGGGCACAGCCAAAGTGATTTCTCACTTTCTCTCTCTCATTCTCTCTCTCTCTCTCCCAGCAAGCTTACGCATCCTATAGCAAATAAATAAATAAATAAATAAATAAATAAATAAATAAATAAAATAAAATCTCTTCCCAGAAAAGAATAAGGTATAGCCAATCAGTTGCCTGCATTATTTTAAATGGACCAAAGTAAACTCTAGCAAACAGTTTGTAGCCTTCCCTCTTCTTGCCCTTTACTTTGTCGGATAAACCAGCCTTCTTGGCTGCCATTTCGATAAGCGTAGCTACAGAATCAGAGTCTGATCCACCAGATGACTTTGTCCTATGCCCTGGCTCAAATAAACTACTTTTATTTGACTTATGCCTCAGCCTTCTTTTTAGGTTGACACTCTCAGCAATTTTCTATGCTATTTAATTCTCTTTTTTTTTTTTATACTGATGGTTCCTCCCCTCCCCCTCACACATACATTGGTCTTAAACCTCTAATAAACCTGTAGTTTGGGAGCAGTGTTCTGGTCTTTTCAAGCTATGCTTGAGTCTAAGCTTGGTCACTGCTTGGCTGGGTGGCATGTTACCATAATACTCCGTTTTTTCCATTGTGACATAGGTAGGGATAACATGAATGCCTGCCTTAGGGTCTTGAGGATTAAATAAAATGATATATACATGGAACTTAAGATAGAATTCAGGACAAATAATGTCTGAGTACTAATTATTTGGTAGCTATTATTTTGTAAAAAAAATACAGATTGAACAGAAACTAAAAATAATTAAAAATATACTTTATGAGGGACCAGCAGATGGAGTCATAGTTACTTCGCTAGACTCCCACGTGGTCTACCAAGGTTTGAGTTCTAGACCCAGGGACTTGAACTCATGCTGGGTACATGTGCTTGCATGCCCAGGATCCTGAGAGGAGAATGGAGAAGGGATTGTGGCATGGCCATCCGTCCTGGGTGGGGTGACTTCTCACTTTCTGTCTCTCTGTCGCTCTCTGTCTCTTCAGTGAGCATACATGCCCTATAGGAAAAAATCTCTCTCAAAAAAAAAAAAAAAAAGTTTAGAATCTAAATTGAGTAATGTTAAGGATATATAAAACCTTTCTGTATCTGATGTTCCCAACATGATTCTATACTCATTAGCTTTTGTTTATATCATGAGAGTAGTAGATTTGGCTTATACAGTCAGCTCCACTGCCTGAGCCACTTGCAGGACAAGTGCCTGGATAGCATTGGTGACCTAGCTCTTGCCCCGTTCTCATATGTAGTTCTCAGAATAATGGCAGAGTGTGCTGGAAATGCAACAATCTGAGACGAGAAGGAACCGCCCAGAACAGCGAGGCTCTGCTTTTGTCTGTCCTAGGACAAGATGTCCTAAAAAGCTTTAGCTCAGCATGTCAAGTAGCTCCCAGGTAGAAACCCTGGGGCAGACTTGATAACCTTATAGGAAAAAATCTCTCTCAAAAAAAAAAAAAAAAAAGTTTAGAATCTAAATTGAGTAATGTTAAGGATATATAAAACCTTTCTGTATCTGATGTTCCCAACATGATTCTATACTCATTAGCTTTTGTTTATATCATGAGAGTAGTAGATTTGGCTTATACAGTCAGCTCCACTGCCTGAGCCACTTGCAGGACAAGTGCCTGGATAGCATTGGTGACCTAGCTCTTGCCCCGTTCTCATATGTAGTTCTCAGAATAATGGCAGAGTGTGCTGGAAATGCAACAATCTGAGACGAGAAGGAACCGCCCAGAACAGCGAGGCTCTGCTTTTGTCTGTCCTAGGACAAGATGTCCTAAAAAGCTTTAGCTCAGCATGTCAAGTAGCTCCCAGGTAGAAACCCTGGGGCAGACTGTGCTTCCAGGTCCTTCAACCATGGGCACACAAGACACCATCCACCGGGGCAGCTCTCCTGGCCTCGGGTGACTTTGTTCTGAGCCATAAACCCTCAGCTTTCCCCATCCCTTGCTGCTCATCTGTGAATAATAAAGTTGCTTTTCTTACTTTCTTCTGTGATTGTTCTGTCTCAATAGACTTGTGCCAGTGGTAGAAATTAAAGTCTAAGATGCAGGAGGCATAGTGAAACCCCTTCACATGGTATACTAAGCACTTTTTTTTTTCTTCTTTTAAAGAGTAACTTATCAACAATCCCCAAAAGAATTTTATGTGCAAAATTTAGCAATAAAATCTGCCTATTTGCATACTGTAGGTTCAGAATTCTGTAATAGATAATGAATAGACATGTGCTAACTATGGCATAAAACTAAATTTAGGGTTTAAATAAAATAAGATCTGGACATAAAATAAACGCCTACCAGTAGCAAAACAAGACTTGTGGTAGGGTATTTTGAGACTCCGTGAACAGGCCACTCAGGTAATGGAACAGATCCCACAAGGAACGGCCACTGACAAGAGCAAAGTTTTGTTTTGTCTTGTTTTATTTTAAAATCCTATGAAAGGCACGTATTGCCTTTAAAGTGATAAGATGGCATTTTGGCATGCAATTAATCTTTTCCTCCACTAATTCAGACTTATACCCCTTTACCTCCAATCTCATCCCTAATCTAACACTGTCCATGTAAAATTACATTCAAGTTTGAATTTCTTATGCTTCTAAAACAATTGAATCTAGGTTAGAGTGGGAATATGGCAGATGGGGAAAAAATAATCATTCTCCATGGCAAAAACTTTGTGGGGAAATTCTTCGGTGGTAACTCAAAAAAAATGTATTTTTTCCTCAATGCAAAAAGTATCGATATTTTATTTATATTTATTTATTAGAGGTTTTTGCCTTAGAGCGCATGTGCTCGCTAGAGAGAGAGACAGAGACAAAGACAATGAGAGGAAAGGTCAGAAATCACCCCCCCTGGTGGAGATGGTCACGTTGCAATCCCTTTTCCTCCATTCTTCCCCTGGGATCTTGGGCACACATGCACACACGCCTGGCATGAGTTTCAAGCCACTGGGTCCAGGACACACAAGACACCATCCACCGGGGCAGCTCTCCTGGCCTCGGGTGACTTTGTTCTGAGCCATAAACCCTCAGCTTTCCCCATCCCTTGCTGCTCATCTGTGAATAATAAAGTTGCTTTTCTTACTTTCTTCTGTGATTGTTCTGTCTCAATAGACTTGTGCCAGTGGTAGAAATTAAAGTCTAAGATGCAGGAGGCATAGTGAAACCCCTTCACATGGTATACTAAGCACTTTTTTTTTTCTTCTTTTAAAGAGTAACTTATCAACAATCCCCAAAAGAATTTTATGTGCAAAATTTAGCAATAAAATCTGCCTATTTGCATACTGTAGGTTCAGAATTCTGTAATAGATAATGAATAGACATGTGCTAACTATGGCATAAAACTAAATTTAGGGTTTAAATAAAATAAGATCTGGACATAAAATAAACGCCTACCAGTAGCAAAACAAGACTTGTGGTAGGGTATTTTGAGACTCCGTGAACAGGCCACTCAGGTAATGGAACAGATCCCACAAGGAACGGCCACTGACAAGAGCAAAGTTTTGTTTTGTCTTGTTTTATTTTAAAATCCTATGAAAGGCACGTATTGCCTTTAAAGTGATAAGATGGCATTTTGGCATGCAATTAATCTTTTCCTCCACTAATTCAGACTTATACCCCTTTACCTCCAATCTCATCCCTAATCTAACACTGTCCATGTAAAATTACATTCAAGTTTGAATTTCTTATGCTTCTAAAACAATTGAATCTAGGTTAGAGTGGGAATATGGCAGATGGGGAAAAAATAATCATTCTCCATGGCAAAAACTTTGTGGGGAAATTCTTCGGTGGTAACTCAAAAAAAATGTATTTTTTCCTCAATGCAAAAAGTATCGATATTTTATTTATATTTATTTATTAGAGGTTTTTGCCTTAGAGCGCATGTGCTCGCTAGAGAGAGAGACAGAGACAAAGACAATGAGAGGAAAGGTGAGAAATCACCCCCCCTGGTGGAGATGGTCACGTTGCAATCCCTTTTCCTCCATTCTTCCCCTGGGATCTTGGGCACACATGCACACACGCCTGGCATGAGTTTCAAGCCACTGGGTCCAGGACTCAAACTATGGT